CTTCCTTCCTTCCTTCCTTCCTTCCTTCCTTCCTTCCTTCCTTCCTTCCTTTCTTTCTTTCTTTCTTTCTTTCTTTCTTTCTTTCTTTCTTTCTTTCTTGTTCTTCAAGACAGGATTTCTCTTGTGTAGCTTTGGTGCCTGTCCTGGATCTCACTCTGTAGACCAGGCTGGCCTCAAACTCACAGAGATCCACCTGGCTCTGCCTCCCAAGTGCTGGGATTAAAAGCATGCGCCACCACCGCCCGGCCAGCAATTGCTTTTTAAAACATTATTATTATTATTATTATTATTATCACATCCATTTATTTGGGAGGCACAGGCATGTGGTGACTCAAGTATGGAGGTCCGAGGACAACTTGTGGGAGTCGGTTCCCTCCTTCCAGCACGCAGGTCCCTGGGATCAAACTGGGGTCGTCAGGTTTGGCAGGAAGCATCCTCTGCCCTGAGTCTCTTGGGAGGCAGAGCCCGGGGGCCCGGAAGTCATAGTACGCGCACGGGAGCAAAGCAGCTCACCTCACGCTAGCCAGGAAGCACGCACGCACGCACACACACGCACGAAGGACCTGGGGCAAGCTATCTTCCCGGGACATGACCCCAGTGAGTATTTCTGTAAGGCCCCACTTTCTAGTCTCCCCCACCCTCTGATGAGTATAAAGCCTTCAGGATCCAGTCACTTCCCCACAGTCTATCAGCTGATAGCCAGGCCTTTGTGGACATTGCCGGTTCAAGCCTTACAGCATCCTTCATGTCTGGCAAAAGTGCCCTGGGTAGAATCGGCGCCAGGAAGAAGTGAACGAGGGACCGGAGTGCTCCTGAAGACAGCATCCAGCACACTCACCCTGCTGCTCCGAGTCAGACCTGCTGTTGTTACTGAGATAACTTTCAAGTAACAGAAAACTGGACACATGAACGTTTGCCGTGAGGGCGGGCATTTGGTCACAGTGTTACAGAAGCATCCCCTTTACCTTGTTACAAAACAATGTAATCGTCCCCTGGGAGCATTGGCTCCCAATGTCCTGTCCCCGTCCCCCGTCCCCGTCCCGTCCCCCCCACCTCCCCTCCTCCCAGTTTGTTTTCTGCTTACAGAGTTGGTACATTTCCTATCCGTGGGCTCGCATGTGTGTGAGCTTTTATGTCTGGCTTCCTTCATTAACATCACATTCTCGGGGTGTGTCTGAGTCCTGCAATGTATCAGCGCGTCTTTCCTCTTTGTGGAAGAAAGAATAATAATGACTGTTTGCTCATGTTTTATTGATGAATAAAAGTGAATTAATTCAGCTGTGCCTACTAGCTCATAGCTGTAACCCCGGCACTCAGGAGGATCATAATGTGGAGGCCAACCTGGGCTACAGAGCAAGATCCTGTCGGAAAAAAAGGGGTGGGTGGGTGGGGTGACAGCTGGTGACATGGCTTAGCCGTTAAGAGACCGGCTGCTCTTGCTGAGTTCAGTTCTTAGCATCCATGTCCGGCGGTTCACTGTTTGTAACTCCAGCTTCATGGGATCGAATGTCCTCTTCTGGCCTCCACAAGCCATTTACATGTATATATCTGTGCACATGTATACGTCACTTTAAAATAAAATAAATATTTAAAAAAGAATAAATTGCCAGGCTGTAGTGGCACTCGGGTCTACAGGGGTATTCCAGGACAGCCAGGGCTACACAGAGAAACGCTGTCTCAAAAAAATAAAAAAAGGGCTGGAGAGATGCTTCAGAGGTTAAGAGCACTGATTGCTCTTCCAGAGGTCCTGAGTTCAATTCCCAGCAACCACATGGTGGCTCACAACCATCTATGATGGGATCTGGTGCCCTCTTCTGGCCTGCAGGCATACATGCAGGCAGAACATTGTATACATAATAAATAAATCTTTCAAAAACATATATATAATAAAAAGAATAAATTATTTAGACACTAATGTTATTAGACATGACTATTCCTTTGCATATCCAATCATACTTTGTTATGTTTTTGGAAGGTTTGGGCTGAGTCCAGCCCTGTCACAGCCTCACTGGGAAGCCCGGCATCCCTCAGCAAGGCCGTCCCTCTCTGTCCTGTTTTTCAGAATCCCTGTGCACACCATATTTGACAGCTGTCCAGAAGGCAATGGCATAAGATCAATAGCCATCACCCGTGACGCCAAGCTTCTGGCTACTATCTCAGATGCCGAAATCCAGGTAAAGAGTCCTTTAGGAGACCTCTCTGAGCGGGCCAACATGCCAGGCGTCTTTGCAGCCACCTCTGCACAGACCACCTGGTGTGTGTGTGTGTGTGTGTGTGTGTGTGTGTGTGTGTGTGTGTGTGTCTTCTAGACTTCACAGTGCAGAGGCAGAGTTGGGGGCCCCATGCCTAGGGCTCCACTAAGTCTTTTGCTCAGTTACCTGAGACCGCAGGGTCCCCATATCCATAGGCTTCTCCTTGCACCCTCAGGGGCCTCTTCTGTCCTTCACTATGCTCTCTCTTGCAGAAAGTGTGCATCTGGAAGTGGACTTTGGCAGTGGAGAAGCCTGCATGCACTCTCGATCTTCCCAAAGAGTACGGTTTCCAGGTGCGTTGCGTTTGAGCCTGGGAGTGCTAGCCCGTGCTTTACACTGAGGCTGCCTTGTGGGGTCTCCTTGTGTTGGTGGGGTTTTGTCATGGTGCAGAAGGGCCTTTGAACAATACTTTCCTAGCCCAGACCTCGGTTTACCCTTCCTAATAACAGCTAATGTGTTTGACACGCTTGCTACGTCCTAGCTCCTGCTCAGTTCTTTACTTAGGTTATCTCCCATAATCTACACAAACATGCAGGTGTGGAGTTATTAACGTCTGTGGACTGCCGCTATTAATTATTAAGTGATCTATCTAAAGCCTTCCTTACTCCAGAAGCAGGCGCTCGGCTGCCTCTAATGTTGCGGTGAGTTGGTGAGATGTGTGGATACATCGGTGTCAGCTTGCGTAAGAAGGCTTGGCTAGGACAGCCCGAGTGCCGCCGTGAGGCCTCTGTGTCCCACAACACTGCTTCTCATGTTTTCTTTCTTCCTCCGGTGTGTATATAGAGGGCTGGTCTATAGCTGGCCCTGTGGTTCCTGGGTCACGGGACCTGAAACTCAAGAGTGTCAAGTGACTAACTCAGCAAAACTCAGGTCCTGATGCAGTCAGATGTCCAGCTGCCCCACCTCCACCCTCCTGTCAATCACTCAGAATTTGCACTGACCCAACAGCCGGCCATATGTGGCTGTTTAGGCGCGCGCGCGCGCGCGCGCGCGCGTGTGTGTGTGTGTGTGTGTGTGTGTGTGTGTGCGTGCATATGTGGGGGCCGCAAGAGTTTATGTCTGGAATTGTCCTCCATTGCTCTCCCACCTTACTTACTGGGGCAAGGTCTCTCAATCAAACCCAGAGCCAACTGATCCGGTTACTCTTGCTAGCCAGCTATCTGGGGATTCCCCCATCTCCGCCTTCTGAGGCTGGAATCACTTACAGGCAGGCCACCGCATTCCCTCAACATTTGCATAGGTTCTGGAGATTGCACCTTGGGTCCTCAGGCTTGTATGGCAAATGCCTTTAAGTGCCGAGCCACCTTTCTGGGTGTGCTGTTCAGCTTTTGTTAACTTGACTCAAACCTAGGCATATCTGGAAACAGGGACTCTAAACTGAGCAATTGTCTCCACCACATCTCTGTGAGTTCGAGGCCAGCCTGGTCTACAGAGCGAGATCCAGGACAGGCTCCAAAGCTACACAGAGAAACCCCGTCTCGAAAAACAAAACAAAAACAAACAACAAAAAGAAAGAAAGAAAAAGAAAGAAAGCCATGCAATCCATGAAGATTGTAGTCTGTGTTCGTGCCCTGGCTCCCCTCCATCAGACCCTTTCCTCTCCCAATTGCTTTTGATCAATGTTGTATCGCAAACCAGGACACCAGTCCCAGACTTGGCAGTTTTGAGACAGGTCCTGGATGTGCAGCCAGGTAGCCTTGAACCCAGGTAGCCTTGGTTTCGGGTCTTGGCCTCTGGAGTAGGGGGTGGGGGGGAATACAGATGTGTGCTGCCTCAGTTGGCTTCTGGTTTCTTTGTTTCTGTACATAATGCCTGCAGGGCTTTCCCCCACTGGGTCTGTAGATCCCTTTGTGAAGTATTGTCATCTTAATTATATTGTTTTCCAATCCCAGAGCACCAGGTGTCCCTCGGTTTGTGTATGCGGTCTTCAATTCTTTTTTTGGGCAGGGCTTTGTAATTTTGAACGTACAAATCGTTTTGCCTCCTGAGTTAAATTTACCCCTGCATATTTTTTTTCCCTTTCTGGTGCTTTTGAAAGTGGAATCGCTTCCCTAATTCCCCTTTTCAGGTCGTTCACTGCAGCTGTATAGAAACACAGCTGGATTCCGCCTCCTTAGTTTTGTGTCCTGCAACTTTGCCAAAGGCACTGTTTAGGTTTCAATGGATGACGGTGAAACAAAATGACAAGTTTGCTTCTCCAGCTCTGCTAGCCACATTTTTAAGTTCTCCCCAGCCACAGGTGGCCGGGTGGCTACAGTATTCGATACATTCCACGGCAGAGGTGTTAGTCCAGTGGGCGGCATCACTTTCACTTTCCCCACAGCCGTTCCTGTGGCTGACGGCTGACAGCATTCCTCAGATGCCACTGAGAGGTTAGGGCCGGGCTGGAGAGATGGCTCAGAGGTTAAGAACACTGGCTGCTCTTCCAGAGGTCCTGAGTTCAATCCCCAGCAACCACATGGTGGCTCACAACCATCTCTAATGAGATCTGGCGCCCTCTTCTGGTATGGAGGCATACATGCAGACAGAAGGCTGTATACACAAGAAATAATAAACCCACGAGGGGCAAACACTAGCCTGTTCCCACTCCAGAGCCTGCAGCTGCCTCCACCCCCACAGTGTTTCTTTCTTTACCCCTTGGTCTCCTCCGGCTATCCCCTCACCCCATCCCATCCCACCCCCAGCCCCCTGTGGCCCTTCACTCGGCCTCATTAACCTTGAACCAGCATGGAGCAGATCACATCACTTAGCTCCTGTGGGCTCCGTATCTCCTCCTAGCTTTTGCCCTTTGCTCTTTTCTTAGTTAGGGTTTGTTTATTTTTTTGTTTTTTTGCTGTGAAGAGACACCATAACCATGGCAACTAACTCCTACAAAGAAAACATTTCACTGAGGTGGCGGTTTACAGTTTCAGAGGTTCGGTCCATTATCATCATGACGGGTTGGGGGGTACGGATACATCTTGATCAGAAGGCAGCAGGAAGTTGACTGTCAGTCACACTAGGAGAAGCTTGAGCAGCAGACCTCAAATTCCGCCCCCACAGTGACACACTTCCCCCAACAAGGCCACACCTCCTAATAGTGCCACTCCCTTTGGAGGCCATTTTCTTTCAAACCAGCACACTGCTCTTCACATAAAACTTCTAGAAGGGAGCTGGTAAGATGTCTCAGTAGGTAAAAGCAGTTAGCACACAAGCCTGATGATCTGAGTTGGACCCCTGCAACTCACGGCAGAGGGAGCCATGCAGTTCCTCTGACCTCCATGTGAAGGCCTGCACTCACACACACAATGCATAATATATTTATATATATATATATATAAAAATTTAAGACTGCCTCCCAACCTGGAAAATTTTGGCTTCTTTTTTTTTTTTTTTTTTTTTTTTTTTTTGGTTTTTTGAGACAGGGTTTCTCTGTGTAGCTTTGGAGCCTGTCCTGGAACTCGCTTTGTAGCCCAGGCTGGCCTCGAACTCACAGAGATCCACCTGCCTCTGCCTCCTGAGTGCTGGGATTAAAGGCGTGTGCCACCACCTCCCGGCTAAGTTTTGGCTTCTTAATGTTTACTTTCATAATAATTATCATTGTGTGCGCGTGTGTTTGAGGGAGGTTGTGTGCCTAGAAATCAGACGACAACCCTGTGGAGCCAGTACGCTCAGCTCATTCCACGTGTACGTGGGTTTCGGGGAATCGAACTCGGGCTGTCAAGCTTGCATGGCGAGCACCAGGCATCTTTACCCGCGGCGCGATCTTTCCAGCCTCATTTCTCTCACTCAGCTTACTTTGTGACCCTGGTCACAGATTATTTTATTTTATTTTTTTAACTTCTCAGTTTGGGCCGGTGGTGCCTGGGTGTGTCAGCTGCTTGTTTATCCTCTGTTAACGAGCATTTAGGTTATTCCCTCCCAGTGACTAATAAGAGCAGATGCTTTGATGAGACAAGCCTTCCTTTCTCATTATTTGTTTATGACAGGTAACACGGCGCTGGTTGGTCAGCGGAAAAGTCACGGGCCATAGCAGAATGTTATGATTTTAGAGCTTTATTAGGAGGGAAAATGGGTGTGGGGAAGGGGACCAGGCTTTTTTAAGGTGGGGGTTGTGTCAGCGCCTGCTGATGATGTAAGACGTTAGACCCAAGCTGCGCATGTACAGAATCCTAACAATTTATTTTATTTTATTTTTGAAGGCTTATTTCCCCTAAATGATGGCCAACCTTGTAACCTTTAATCCTGGCCCATAGGAGGCAGAGGCAGGTGGGTCTCTGTGAGTTTCAGGCCAGCCTGGTCTACAGAGTGAGCCCCTGTCTCAGGGGAAAAGAAAAAAGACACAAAACAAAAGTATAGAAATTCCTTGCAGTTCAGTAGATAAACTGCCTTGGCAGAAAAGACACTTGGACCCGAAAGTGCCCTGGTTAAAGGTTGGTTTCCAGCCCTGGGGAGGTCTGGCCAAGCACTCCACCAGTCCATATCACCCCCAGGCCCGTGTGCTGGCCTGTGAGTCTAACACAGACATTGGTGGCTCACGTTTATATTGCTGTGATAGAGCATGGGGCTGGCAAGGGGGCAGGGGGTGGGGCGGGAGTGGGGGCAGAAACAGTCTGCCCCGGGCAGAAACAGCTTGCCCTGCCTCATCTTGTGCCAGGCCACCAGTACCCCAGTCTGCACCCCCCTCTCCCTACACAGGCTCCCCCACCTTCCAGCCCTTTCGGGGGTTTCTGTCTCCATAGCTGTTGTTATTGTTCGGTTCCTGCATCTAACGGTTTCCCCCTCGCTTCAGTTTCTGCAGAGTTGGTTTTTTGGGAAGGGCGCCAACAGCTCACGCCATACTGTCTTGGCAGGAATTCCCTTCTGAAGCCTCACAGCCCGTCCAAGATCCCTTGTGGCCCTGTCAGTCTCCGAAGTGTGCATGCGCCAGCCTTTGTCTCAGAGGACACAGACTGACGATTATTAGTGATGGGTTAGAGGCTGTGGTATGCTTAGCTGAGGGACACCCTGGGTTCACTGCCCAACGGGGGAAAGAAAAGAGCAAATGAATAACTAAATGGTGACTATAGTTTATTCTTGGCTTGTTATGCGTGATGACTTATAATAGATAAAACTTGTAAAAGGAACACATCTTACCCTACTTACTTCACAGCCAGGATTTAAATGCTCTTTTTGCTTCCCAGGTTAGAAGTCTTTTGCATTGTTAATGTCTATCCCTACTCAGTTATTTATTTGAATTGAAATTATTATTTAATTGCAACGCTCAGCTGAAGCAGTGAGAGGCAGGTTCGTTTTCTTTTTTTTTGGTTTTTCTTTTTGGTTTTTCGAGACAGGGTTTCTCCATGTAGTTTTGGTGCCTGTCCTGGAACTCACTCTGTAGACCAGGCTGGCGTCGAACTCACAGAGATCCGCCTGGCTCTGCCTCCCGAGTGCTGGGATTAAAGGCGTGCGCCGCCGCCCAGCTACAGGTTCGTTTTCATGTAACACATGTTCACGCCTTCTGCTGCAGAACTACCTCACCTTCAACCCAAGGAACAACAAAGAACTGGTGAGCAACAGCAAGACGCAGGCCATCTTCTACTCCTGGGTAAGTAGAGGCAGAGCCGTTTCCAACTGTGGAGGGAAACGTAGGTTTAGATTTTGAATACAGATGTTCCATCGTATAGTAACAGTGCATCTATTTTGGAAAAAGTGAGCATGTATTTAAACATTTTGATTTAATTATGGCATTTCTCTTAGTCTCATTGGAAATTAGCATATTAAATTAGAAGCAGATAATTAAATTTCATTTACATTTTTAAGGTAATGAGGCAAATATTTATTTGACCATATTTAATAGGTCTAAAAGATAGAGGTTTGTTTTGTTTATCTTTTCTTTCTTTCTTTCTTTTTTTTTTTTTTGACAGAGTTTCTCTGTGTAGCTTTCGAGCCTGTCCTGGAACTTGCTCTGTAGCCCAGGCTGGCCTGGAACTCACAGAGATCCGCCTGCCTCTGCCTCCCAAGTGCCAGGATTAAAGGCGTGCGCCACCACCGCCCGGCTCAGAAAAGAATTTTTTAAAGTAAAAAATAGTTCATTAAATAAATTGACAATTTCATACATGTAAACAATGCATCTTGACCATAGGCGCCCCAATTCCCCCTCTACCTGCCTCTACCTCGGAGAAACTGTGACTCCGAGTTCCGAGGTGCTCGCCTTACAGAACTGCAAACAGGTGCTCCTACAAATAGTTCCGGCTAACTTGTCACTGCGGCAGCACTAGTGACAGTGACCAAAATGCTCGGCGTGTGGTGGTGCACATCTTTAATCCCAGTACTAAGGTAACAGAGGCAAGAGCATCTCCGTGAGTTCGAGGCCAGCATGGTCTAAAAAAAAAAGAAAAGAAGGGAAAAATAAAGATGAAGAAACCACACAATTCGGCTGTGGAGTGTTATGATTCCATTTATATGGAACGCTGGACTAGGTAAGTCCACAGAGACAGGGAGTAGATTCATGGCGGTCAGGGGCTGAGCAGAGCAGGAAGGGAGTGACCGCAGGTCTCTCTAGGATGACAGGCACGGTCCCTCTGCAGCATTGTGAATATCATGCATGGCACTGATGTGGACACCTAACAAAATGCACTTGCTTTAAATTTTTTTTTTTTTTTAAGGCAAAGCAAAACCAAAGACTTATTGAAAAGCTGCCTGTCAGCGGTATTTACTGATCCGGGTGTTTATTTTCATCTTAAAGCCTCATTAGTGTAGTGGAGCTCAGACTTGCATTAACCGCCATACCGAGGCACAATCAGGCCTGGCTTCTAAATAGAGTTGCGTTTCTTTTCCAATGTTTCTAGACATTCCCCAGGCTTTCTTCCTATAGGAACTGCAACCCTCCGGCCCCATCTGGGCACATTCGGTCTGCTCTAGCTAGCGCGTGGTCCCTGTTTTGGCAGCTTGGTCTTTAAATAGTAACGTCTTTTTCTGTGCTTTTCAGTTCGAAGAGAAGGGTATCCTGGCTCACAGCGCCCCGGTTTTAACAGAGAAAGTGAGTATTCCTGTCATACTTGCACGGCAGACGCTGTGAAGGGTAAATACAGATGTGTAGACTCAGTGGGCGGGGCTGTGCCTTAATGTGAAGCCGGAGGGAAAGAATTTGAACATTTTTGCTTGGATCCTTTATCCATAAGAAATCATCTTGTTAAAAATAATGGAAGTATTGTAAAAAAAAAAAAAAAATCAAATGTGATGGGGAAAGTTGAGGAGGTAGCCAGAGAATGGACAGATTGTGTCACGTGCATGTGTATATTGACGAAGAATAAGAGTTCGGTTTGACAAAAGGTTTGTCAAAGGGGAGAATAATGATGAGATGAATGGGCACAAGGAAAGATGGTTTGTCCTGGGTTCAAATCCCCAGGACTACAAACCAACCAACCAACCAAACGAACAAACACTCCTAGGAAAGATGATTGTGTCTGTCTGCAGACTTCGTTCTCAGGAATTAAAACGTAAGAAGTATGCTCAATGGTTATGACTCCTGGTGATCTTATGAAGTCTCTCGGAATAACGAATTAGAAAATAGTGAACCATTGCTCCTGAGGGAATATAGAGGTTGGTTTCTGTAAGCTGGTGCCATATTTTCAGTTGATGAGTGCATAACCTTGTTTTGTTAAGGCTCCTGCTTCAAAGATATTTTTTAGATATTACATTGAGGGCCAGGTGTGATGGCACACACCTTCAATCACAGCACTTGGGAGGCAGAGGCAGGTGGATCTTTGTGTTCAAGGCCAGTCTTGTCTACAGAGTGAGTTCCAAGCCAACCAGGACTGAACAGTGTCTCAAACAAAACTAAACCAGAAAAAAAAAAAAATCCCAGCAACACTGAGGGCTGAGGATGTAGCCCAGTTGGTACAGTGCTTGGTTACCATGTGTCTAGAAGGAGAGAACCTTGATTGAGAAAAATATCTCCATAAAATATCTCCAGCTATAAGGCATTTTCTTAATTAGTGGTTGATGGGGGAGGGCCCAGCCATTGTGGGTGGGGCCACCCCTGGGCTGGTGGTCCTGGGTTCTGTAAGAAAGCAGGCTGAGCAAGCCATGGGGTGCAAGCCAGTGAGCAGCACCCCTCCATGGCCTCTGCATCAGCTCCTGCCTCTAGGTTCCTGTCCTGTTTGAGTTCCTGTCCTGACCTCCCTCAATGATAGACTATGATATGGAAATGTAAGCCAAATAAACCCTTTCCTCCCCGAATTGCTTTGGTCAGGGTGTTTCATCGAAGCAATAGAAACCCTGGCCAAGACACAAAACTAGGATCTCTTTGCAGAGGGCAACGGGCAGCAGATAGGTTGTGTTATGTGATAGATTGCTGAGTTTCTTCCTTCCTTCCTTCCTTCCTTCCTTCCTTCCTTCCTTCCTTCCTTCCTTCCTTCCTTCTTCCTTCCTTTTCACTGAAGGGTTTCATCATAGCTCATTTGTTTCTCTCTATATATTTTTTAAAAGATTTTATTTTAAAATTAAGTGTGCCATGCGGTGGTGGTGCACGCCTTTAATCTCAGCACTCGGGAGGCAGAGGCAGGCAGATCTCTGTGAGTTCGAGGCCAGCCTGGTCTCCAAAGTGAGTTCCAGGAAAGGCGCAAAGCTATACAGAGAAACCCTGTCTCAAAACCACCCCCCCCAAAAAAAATTAAGTGTATGTGGGTGGGGGCGTTATGTGCCTGTGAGTGTTGGTGCCCTTGGAGGCTGAGGTATCAGATTCCCTGGAGCTGGACTCCTAGATAGTTGTGAGCTGCCCATCATGGGTGTTGAGAACTGAACTCAGGTCCTCTGGAAGAGCAGGACATGCTCTTACTCTCTGGGCCGTCTCTGCAGCCCTCTTTCCATATTTCCCCTCTGAAACCTTATGTAAGAAAGATGGCTAAATGCCTTATTTATTTCTCAAAGCATACACTGACTAAGAGGCCTTACTGAGGTATTGTTATGTGAAGGGATGAAATAATTTCTTCTGATGAGACAATACCTTACTAGCAAAGGACATCAGGGTAATTGCTTTATATTTTTCACTCAGAGCATGCCTCTGCTCATGACAGACTATGCATTTAGCAACCTCCATGGGAGACGCTGGATGGGTATCAGCAGTAATTAACCACTCATTGGTTTGGTTAAACAGCGTAACTAACTGAGTACAGCACATAACCTGCGATCCACCCGTGGGTTTTCAGTCATTCCTTTTTTTTTTTGTCTAACTGTATTTCTTTTTTTTTTTTTCTTCGAGACATAGTTTCTCTGTGTAGCTTTGCTCCTTTCCTGGATCTCGCTCTCTAGACCAGGCTAGCCTTGAACTCACAAAGATCCGCCTGGCTCTGCCTCTGGAGTGCTGGGATTAAAGGCGTGTGCCACCATCGCCCGGCTGTCTAACTATATTTCATCCTAACATTATAAAACTCCACGCTGATACATGTTTTGGTGCCCTCCCCCCCCCCCCCCCCCCCCGGCTGTAACTTATTACCTGTCTTTGAAACCCAGACATTCAACAAACTCGTGGGAAAATTTAGCCAGTCCATCTTCCACTTGAAGTTATCGCAAATACTGTCAGCCACGAAGGAAGGGAAGCTGGTGGTCTGGGACGTCCACTACCCGCCATCGTCCTCCTCCGTGCCGGCCCTTCCATTCATCAAGCCTTGCAAACTGGTCCATTTACAGAAGGAAGGCATCACTGTCCTCACCACCGTCGACAAGTAAGGAGCCTGATTAGAGGAGAGCCTGGGGTGATGACACGTGTATTGTAGACCTCTGTTTTATCTAAAAATCAAATAAATAAATAAATAAATAAATAAATAAATAAATAAATAAATAAATAAATAAATTATAATTACATCCTTTTTGCCTCTAACCCCTCCCAGGTACCCCCTTACCCTTTCCCCAATTCATGGCCTCTTTTTAAAAATTGTTGTTACAGCCAGGCGGTGGTGGTGCACACCTTTAATCCCAGCACTTGGGAGGCAGAGCCAGGCGGATCTCTGTGAGTTCGAGGCCGGCCTGGACTACAGAGCGAGATCCAGGAAAGGCACAAAGCTACACAGAGAAACCCTGTCTCGAAAAAAAAACAAACAAAAACAAAACAAAACAAAAAACCACCAAAAATAAAACCACCCCGAAAATTGTTGTTGTATATTATAATATATATATTTATATATATTCCTAAATTAATAGATGCAACCCACACAGTCTATGTAATGTTGCCTGTATGTGTTATGATTTCAGGGCTGAGCACTTGGCATTGGATAGCTAGTTGAGGGGTTCGTCCCCGGAGAAGACTATTCTTCCGGCTCTCTCCATATGCTTGAGCTTTCTATTAGACCTTTTTGTATAGCAAGTCACAGATACACAGAGTGTTTTTGGGGACAGTCATAGCTAACTTAGGAACATTAGTTGCCTCTCAGCAGGAGAACTGAGCGCTTTGAAGTTCAGGAGAGGAATGGGTTCTTTTTGGTTTGGTTTTCAAGACAGGGTTTCTCTGTGTAACAGCCCTGGCTGTTCTGGATCTCCCTCTGTAGACCGGGCTGGCCTAAAACTCCCAGAGTTCTATCTGCCTCTACCTCCAGAATGCTGGGATTAAAGGTAAATGCCACCACTGCCCAGCAGGAATAGGTTCTTGCTTGTTACATGCACTAACAGGTTATTATTATTATTATTATTATTATTATTATTATTATTATTATTATTTTGATGGATCTCATTGAGTAGCTCTGGCTAGCTTGGAGTTCACTATGTAGACCAGGCTGTCCTGGAACTCACAGAGATCTGCCTGCTTTTGCCTCATCCCTCTGAAGTGCTGGAATTAAAGGCGTGCGCCACCCTGCCTGACTCCAAACTTGACTTTTTTTTTAAAATTTTTTTAAGAGTCACATTTTTTTAAAATTATTATTATATATGCAGTGTTCTGCCTGTATGTGTCCCTGCAGGCCAGAAGAGGACACCAGATCTCATTACAGATGGTTGTGAGCCACCATGTGGTTGCTGGGAATTGAACTCAGGACCTCTGGAAGAGCAGTCAATGCTCTTACCTCTGAGCCATCTCTCCAGCCCTGAACTTGACTTTTAAAAGCTCATGGGCACACATTGTGTTTAAAACTTCTTGTTAGTGACACAAAAAGTCACTCCTTTTCTTCTGTGCTAATGAAACCCATCTCATACTTTAAATTTAAGAAAATACCGCAAGGGGCTGGAGAGGTGGCTCAGCCGTTAAGAGCGCTTGCTGCTCCTGCTGAGGACCTGAGTTTGGGTCCCAGCACCCACATGGTGGCTCACAACCATCCATAACTCCATTTCCAGGAGATCCAACATCCTCTTCTGACCTCTAAGGACACCAAGCATGCATGTGGCACACATACATACATGTACGCAAGATACCCATGCACATAAAGATTTTAAAAAAACTAAAATAATTTTTAAAAAGAGGACTCAGATAGCATTATCATTTTTTTTTTTTTTTTT